AGAAAGAAAGAAAGAAAGAAAGAAAGAAAGAAAGAAAGAAAGAAAGAAAGAAAGAAAGAAAGAAAGAAAGGCAGGCTTGAGGCTAGATTTGATAATTGTTTTACAGTAATTTAGCATGTTGGCAAAACAGGCTTTGCATTTTATTTAGCCTAATAAAGCTTAATAAATAAATAACCCCTAAAAAAGGGGGACACTTTAGTTATTCTCAATAAGACACACAAGAGAAGAATTGATTCATATCCAGTTCTGGATTGAAAAGAAAAGAGAAACTAAACTTTCACAAGCAAATCACACATCCAACCCTACAACACAACAATCATACCATCCCCACCCACTCCAACCTCAAAGCTTAGGGACTAGAAACTTTTCGCTCCTGTTTGGTGTGACTTTTCACAGTTGGTTCAACCTGAAGAATAAGACCTAGCTTCACCTTGAAATGGACCCCAGTTTGCAAGGCGGCCTTTTCATTTTAAGCAAAAAAAAAAAATTTTTTTAAACGATAAAATAAAATTCCATTTCATAAAACGGAATTGTGAATCTGTTTGGAAGCAAAACTCACATTCATCCAGAAAGCATTTTCACAATGAAATTTGTACGTGTGTGTGCATGTCTTTTCACACACTATACGGGAGGATGGTAAACTTCCCAGATGTTTAAATGATGCTCAACAGAGGGGGTGGGGTGGGAGGAGGTCTCTTCCCTGTGGGTGGGGGGAAGGGGAAAAGGTGGCAATAAACAGAAACCTGCTTTGGGGAGAAATATGTTACAATAGTGAAGTCTTGGCTCTATGAGATAGATCAACGATATCTTAAAAAGTGCCACCTACAAAAATCTCCCTAAGTTGTAATCTTGCAGATCAAGATATTTCCTAGAAGATACTGCAAAATATGCCTTCCTTCTGCAAGAACTAGGAGTCCCCTCCCCCCCCCCAGACCATCCTCTTAGTAGCATAAGTCCTTGTAAAAACCCAAGGCCCACAGACACACTGCATGTGGTAGAGGTGAACCATCACTCCAACAAAAGTTATACTGACCCTGCTTCAAAGGCCACACGCCTGACGTCATATGGAGTCACTGTTACCATGGCAAGTGATTTCTCCAGGTTTATGGGGAATGAATGAAAAGCAAACAGATGATCTGCCCTCAATCAGCCCATCAAATCCAGGAGGGCAAACGGGCCAATGAATTGGTGTCATAGATTCTATTGTGGCCCACCTGAGTTAAAGATGACTGCCAATAAAATATAAAAGAGGAAGGAAGGAAGAAAGGTGAAGGGAGAGGGAGGGAGGGAGGGAGGGAAGGAAGGAGGAAGGAAAGAAGGGGAAGGGAGAGAGAGGAAGGAAGGAAGGAAGGAGGGAGGGAGGGAGGGAGGGGGGGAAGGAAGGAAGGAAGACTTCCAATAAAATGTAAAAGAGGGAGGAAGGAAGGAAGGAAGGAAGGAAGGAAGGAAGGAAGGAAGGAAGGAAGGAA